AGTAATCGTGAGCCTTCGGATATCCGGCAGATAACCAAGAATAGTAGTACTGACACACATACCCTGTCAAAACTGACAAGAACATTTTATCAACATCTCACACATCCTTCGCGTGTCCCGTTTTCCGCCCTAATATCAGGGCAGAATTTTCGATCATACACAGGTAACTTGCAGAATCGTTAATTGTGAATAGTGATACTAAAGTGCGTACGAAAGTCGCAGGTTTACTTTGGCGTAACTGTTAGTCATGAACTTGTGTCAGATTATTAGAAAGCAACATTTTTGGTTTATAGTCATTTAAATTAAGAAATAAGCAAGCGTTTACCAAGTTTATCAATAGCGGAACAGAAAGCGGGTGTTTTTGGACGTCCTTTGGTAGGTCAATTTATGGGGAAATGCTGGAAGATATTTTAGAGCCGTTTCATTCTTTTTGAAGAAGGTCAACGGTGTGCATCCCCTGAATTTTCAGGATTTACGAGCACATCCGTAGTCCTCAGATGTTTGACCACAAGTCACTCATTGTCTGTGCGATTTCCGCACATCACTGGCTGCCTAAGTGCCGACTGCTCAGAAAGAACATCGATACATCTTGAAAGACTTCATATTTTCTGAGCAACCCGCTCGGCGGAATGGTGGTATTCTCTCACCTTGTGAGTGCTATTTAAATGCCCTGCTCGTTTCTAAGTACTAGGATGATTAGTCACTAAGCAGGAGATTACGCTGTCAGATCTATCTAGGCATTCATGACGTTTTCACTGTTCGAAAGGTATATTAAGGGTGATGCAACTGAACAATGCTGCACCAATTTAAAAAACGGACTTATTTAACTTTGAGGATGGACTTTCAGTTAGAAATTTCATACCTCTCAGAATCGTTGGACAATGGCCACATTTACGGCTTCGCGTAACTCATGAAGAACCAGTTTGATTTGCAAGCATGGCCATATGCTCCTTATCGTGTGCTGGGGAATTCATTAATTGAAGTTGTATTAGTATGACACAAGGCTTGTATTCTTGTGTACACCCTGTTTTGTATACTGTAGGAGTTATGCTGACTTCCAGTTTGATGAACCTCGACATAGCCTCTCTTCTAATGATCGAAAGCCTCACGTGACAAGCCCTATTTGCTGCACATGTATTAAACTGGTACCCCCAAAGCGACACGGTATTCTAAATTTTGACTATCTAGGGTTTTGTCACAAAATGTTTACATTGTGCCAGTTTTGCAACCATCAGGCGATAGTTAAAAAATGCCAGCAAGCTAGGCACATCGCATGACGTTTTAGACTCCTGACGGGCTAATTAGTCAATGTAACTAACCCGTGCTTATAGAATAGCGTTTGCCTGCAAGAATATTAGTGTAGATTCCATTTACTGTAGGTTATGTCTTTCAAATATCATAAACTTTATGAGTTAACAAATGACAAGTGTCACTTTTGAAATATATGTGACAGTTCAAACTACCGATGTTCAAACGGCAGAAACAACATTTACAATCATTCCAGGCTAATTTGGAACAAACTACAGGAACAGGTTATCACAAATGTGGTAGAGTCTGCAGTAGTACACTATCTAGCTCTTCTATCTATCTATCTATCTATCTATCTATCTATCTATCTATCTATCTATCTATCTATCTATCTATCTATCTATCTATCTATCTATCTATCTATCTATCTATCTATCTATCTATCTATCTATCTATCTATCTATCTATCTATCTATCTATCTATCTATCTATCTATCTATCTATCTATCTATCTATCTATCTATCTATCTATCTATCTATCTATCTATCTATCTATCTATCTATCTATCTATCTATCTATCTATCTATCTATCTATCTATCTATCTATCTATCTATCTATCTATCTATCTATCTATCTATCTATCTATCTATCTATCTATCTATCTATCTATCTATCTATCTATCTATCTATCTATCTATCTATCTATCTATCTATCTATCTATCTATCTATCTATCTATCTATCTATCTATCTATCTATCTATCTATCTATCTATCTATCTATCTATCTATCTATCTATCTATCTATCTATCTATCTATCTATCTATCTATCTATCTATCTATCTATCTATCTATCTATCTATCTATCTATCTATCTATCTATCTATCTATCTATCTATCTATCTATCTATCTATCTATCTATCTATCTATCTATCTATCTATCTATCTATCTTCGTCTTTCTGGATTTCTATCCATCTGTCTGTCTGTCTGCCTGTCCCTTGACCAACGCATTACCATTGTCAAGGTTGAATGTAAGTGACCTCAAAGAGTAATCTAGTTTGAACTTTGTTTCTCAACACACAGTGTGCTGATAGTAGACGTAATATCAGGCGGTCTGCGGTTAGACTTATCCCTTGGGACTAATGTAAATGCACCAAAGTATTTCCTCTAATAGATAAGTATTTTCATGTCAATAAAAGCAGCTCTGCCGTCTTCCTTAGAAGAAAAACGGATTGGAAGAAGTCCACTTGGCTGGATATTTGTTGATGGATGGTTCGAAGTATTCAGACTTCTCGAATTCATCAGAATCCACGATCAGCAGCCTGAAACCCATGCACTATTATTAACATTGACGCTCGCTTCATCATACCGCGTCAGTGATGACTATGTGGAAGGCTGGCTATTTGAACACTTGAGGAGGGATATTGGCAAATAATATCAGTACTCTCCAAGGCAAATCACTGCAACTGTTATACACAACTGTACGTTGGTCACCATCCGTTTATTATGAACCCCACGTTTTATTATAAGCGTGAACATTCTACTACCTGGTTTTCCCACAATCATGATGACTAAACTGTGAAAAAAAGGTCAAAATATAGTCGTGAGGGAAGTATATTTGCAGCAGGCGGCTAGGCAGCCAACAAACACGAAGCAAATTGATCGGTCAAATGAAGATCGAGTAGAAATCCAAACCTCTATGAATCGGCTCGACAGAATTCGAGTCGGATTCCACAAAGGTCCTTGCGTCTAAGCGGGACATGAAAGACAAAGTAATCCAGCCAGACCAGTTGCTTCACAACTGATTAGGAGGCGTAACGGCTGAAACAAGCTCATTTGATAGAAGGCGTTGAGTTATTTCCTCTTTTTCCTTTTTCTTACAAAACCTAGGTCAAGAACAGCACTGGAAAGTATGGTCATTCCAGAACGGGACGTTCTGAATTTTCGGTCAATGTCCAGCGGTCTATTCTAATATGCGTAACAAATTGTAGAAATATTTACGTGAATTGAGATAATAAAATTAACGAATAGTACGCGAACATCTCTCCAGTGTTACGTGAGCAGCTTTATCGCGCCTGCTAATGAAGTCGGAGATAATTTGAACTGTTGTGTGACACCAGTCACCTCGTACATTCTTGCCTCGCCTTGTTTTAGGATGAAGCAGAAGGCCTCATCACAGTCCGGCAGAATCCATGAAAAGATAACGAAGCACCAATAAATTGTCAGATGTATGCTATTGTTTTTGGTCCTTAAACATATACCATGTCTGAGTGTGCCAATCGGCGGAGCGTCAGTACGTTCACCATATTTCCGGATTGATGAAAGTTAAAATCACACGCAAGCTTTCAGACCCTCACGACAGTCGCCACGCCCAAGCAAGGAAACCTCCAATGGATAGCATTCGTATCATGCAACAAATGTTTGCATACAACCACAGGCCAACACTTTGTGTCGTATTAGAGGATAAAACAGCCTGTGACTGGGTTAACTGCGCTGACCGCACCAATCCACATCTTTCAGGATATTTCAGACATTCTCATGAGGCTTCTTCATCTTTACCTCTTAACTCTTCCTTCAAACCTCGTAATTGAAGATGTCGTCACAGAAACGCTGTCTGTCTCTGCTAACCCTAGTTTGGAAGCTCCTCCAAAGGTAGATCTTAAGGGACTGAAACATGCGGACAATAACTCGCTATCAGGTTTAACTTCATTATAACAAGCGGTTACACTAGGCAATTTGTCAAATGATAGTTTGTAGTTTTGTCGTATCACGTCAGATAACAGTGAATGAGAGATATGACGGGAATTTCTTCAACTGTGCGGTTGATGTGACACCACAATGTCAGCAAAACCGAGTGTCCAACGTGGCCGTGAAAGCTGATCACTGGGGGTTAGGGATGAAATAAAAACACGTGACTCAAACCGCGGTGTGGCCAAAGAATTATGCACAACTCATGGGGATATTGGGTTTGAAAGTACGACGAGGGGTTTTTGCAACAAATCAATCGTGTGTCCAACCGGTAGGTAGACTTGTCTGCAGTGACAACGAATGGTTCATCATGCGCTGTGTATACCAGGTGATTTAACCTCTTGTCTTAACCCGTTTGTTGTAACACTTTCGATCAGGGATGGACAACGCCTGCCCCGAAAACGCAGCGCGGAGCACATTACAAAAGACCTCAGTCACAGCAGTTCATGCTATCTGCTATGTCAATCCCGGTTATCTACCAGCCTTCCTTTGCTGTTTTTCATCTGCGAAATCCCAGTTGGACTGCGTGGCTTCCTGCACCACCACACGTGCGTTCAGAGATCACGCTTATTAAGCTGCACCTAAGTAACTTTAATTGGCCTTATTTCAGCTACTCTGTTAAACTCTCTCTACTCTGTTCATTTGTCTATTTATCCATTTGTGTGCCCACCTGTCTAGCTGGCTATTTCTCTACCTATTTGTCCATCTACGTAACTCCTCACGACCACGAACCCACCACTGCGCTCCCAAACAAGACACCGGTGATGTCACTTCAATCGGTGATGAAAGGATTTCATTCAAATTGCCCAGCTCAGCGAAAAACCAATGACCATCAACGAAGTCATTATCTACATATCTTTCCTGTGGCCAACCAGAACATGAGTACCGGGGATTTCTAACAATTGGGTCGAGGTTTAGGCATTTGTGTTGACTGCGAATTCACTGACACTTTAAGTTCGGTGGATTATAGTTCAAAGCATGACAAACAAACTTTCACTCACTTTTCCAGACATCAATAATCTCACAATTAGCACAAGGGTTTGAGGATTCGGGTGAACTGGCAAATCGGAAATCGGAGTAGACTGCTTTATACTTCCATTTTCATCATTCGTCGTAGTGCCACAGTAATCGACAGTGTTGTACTCAAGTGCAGACTTGGTTGTAGACAACCCATTCAGCCGGAGAACGATATCCGAGCTAGGCGTGGTCCCATTCGGCTGATTTGGCGTGGGCAGCAAACATCCAGGGGAAATTGTGGCGGAAAATTGCGGTGGTGTGCCCGGATGAGGTGAACCTCGAAAAGTCTGATAAGACGTATTTACCAACGCATGAACTTGCGGTTGTGTAAAACGATAAGTAGTATCAGTAGTGGGAGAGAAATACCCAGGCTGCATTGGATTTGAATGAAGAAACGTGGCGGGTGCCTGTGTTGCACTGGCCAGTAATAACTTCCCATTTGCATCGGTGCTGCTGACAAAACCAAACGGGTTTGTGTGAGACACACTAACAGTCTGATACGTTGAGAACGGGGGCACACCACTAAGGGAACCGAGCTGGATGTCTGTTGCTTGGAGTGGCTGTTGTTGTGATGGGATGTAAGCCGGAACAACGCTGGTTAGTGCCATGTTTCACAATGTAGCATATGCGGCCCCACTAGCCAAATGTGACGAGGGATGAAACATACAAAAACGCGTCGATTAGCATGGGAATAAAATAACTGATCAAAACACATTCCATGCTACTCACTAAGCATCAAACAATGAACTTGCAAAAGTGGGAGCGATACTTTAAATTTAGGTAAATTTCTGTAACATTTTGCTATTTTCCAAGAACAGCGATAAAAATGAAATAAAAATGGAATAAAAATCTACCATATTATTTAGCGAACCTGATTTCCTATCGCTCAATAGAGTTGTGGCCATCTCACACTAGGTTTGCAGTAGAGAGCAACTTCTATGTATAAATCACCGTCTGGCGACGTAATTAGATGACACTAGATGCAAGAGATGATGGCACTGGGATGTGGGAAAATTTAATTTTATTATTTGGTACATTCGACGAAAAAATATTCTGGACTGGATGACGTCACTGAATTCATGCTGATTAAAGGTATCCCGATCCACTCTAGTTCAAAGAGATAGCTGACATTTGATAAGAAATGTTTCCTCTCCGTTAACAAACCCGGAGGTATTTGTTACAAACAACCTGGTTTCCATCCACACGTAACGGAAGGAACGCTACTGCCTTAACAATTCGGAAAAAATGGGTGCAGGACAGTGTCAACCAAGTAACACAATAAAACTTTTGCTACTATGCTGCACACCCGAAAAAACCTCTTCAAATGACTGCACGTTACTGAATACCGCGTGAAGTAGGGTACATTTTTGAGGCACTTCCAAGATGAACTTCTCCTCACTTCAACGTCTATCTTAATGAATTATTTACAAGAGTTTCCATGTTGTCAACTATGTGGTCAATGATCAATCAATTTTGCCAAAGGGCCGCTTCATCAAACTTACATATTATTATCCAGAGTGTGTTTAAGACAAATCCGACTCGGACGAAAAAACGACTTTCAAAAAAGCTCTAGCTGTTCAATATTGTAACGTTGCCGAAAGTGAATATTTTAGGAGTTTTCTGCGGTGAAATATTTTGCTACATATTTGACGACTATGTGGCCGGTTATGGCGATCCGATGTTTTACGGCAAGAACAGGTTTGCCCCAAGGTTTCAATATCTACAATTTTCACCAATATTTCCGATTGGAATAATTCAGCCATAACACTTGTCCGCTCCGAAGTGGCGTGTAATGTAAAACCCGATTCGAGCCGAGGTTCTACTGAAAGACCAAGAGCTAACATTAGAGTTTTAAGCGTATAAAAGCCATAGCTTTTAAGGACCTTTCAGTGTCAAAAGCAGGAGGCAATTTTATGAAAAATACAGTGCGAAAACGCGCGCATAAGTGACAAAAATTTATTGTTGTCAGCCACTATGACGCATAATGCTAAATGAACGCCGCCAACTTCTTGCGTTAAAGTCAACTAAAAAGAAATCTTCGCGGTATGCGTTCGGATATATATTTGTAACCCATGCTTCATTTGGAAGTTTTATTTAGCGGAACAGCATTTGGGGACACAAGATTTAAGTGCGCTCATATAGATTTCATGGTGTCTGACGTTTGCTTTTTTACATCCGCATGTGATGATCAAGTGATGCAACTGAGGCTGCGCGCAACTAAATTTTCTGTTCCGTAATTTCACTGTCATAAAATGAGATTTATGCCGGAGGAAAAATTTTACTGCGCATCGTAAATTGTGTAGGTAGTTTAATTTAGTTTAAAGGAAAAATCTGTCAACCTGAGGAAGAGAAACGAGAAAAACTAGAAGGTACGCACTCCACAAACATGGAAGCATTAGAAACCTCGCTATGCCGCGGACAGTAAGATGTTTTGACTAGACGCAGGTTATCAGGAAGACGCATAAGAAATAACAGTTGAAATGGGTGTATCGATAACCTTTTGTTGCTATTAGGGAAGACAATGCTATATGGTACTTTTATACTGTGGCTGGATAAGAGCCGCCGACCGTTTAAGACGTTCAGTTTCTAATGTCACCTTCATAAATATTATCTGCATAAACGTCCTAGTTCAGCGCCTAGAGGATTTTATCCCATATTGAAATCGGTAGTCGTCTGCAAACAATTTATTTCCTCAAAAACTGCTGCAATAGACGAATGGAACGCGGCTTTTTGCAACTTATCATCATTGTCTTTGAGTAGCAAGGCATCATATCGGTTGGAGCACTTTTCTCTAATGAATAAAGTTTGATTCTCTATCTACTCAACTATGCCTATGCAAATCCAGTCACCCAAGGCTGCGCTCCATTTTTCAAAGATGCGCATCTGTCTCAGGTGCAACAGGGTAAAGTTCCGTAGTGAGGACAACAGGAAAATTTCAGTTTCATTTCATCAAAGTTCATGTGAATTAAGTTGAATCACGTTTGTACTTGGTTGTTTGTTGTGCGTAAAACGCGGGTCCGTAAAAAACTAACTCCAATCAGCGCGATTTAGTTCATCAAACTGTTGAGAAGAATGTGAAAGCGGCTCGTTTGTGACGGCAATCACATTGAAGGAGCACAACCATTCATATCGTTTCTCCCTCGGAAAGGGATCTGACAGCCGCAACGGCGATGAAACACTTTCAACTACGATGGACGGAAAACTTGAGAGACACTATTTTGCTGGTTATAATGGGCGATCGAGACCAGGTCGATCTGTCATATCGTTACGTAGGGATCACCTGAAATGCATCACAAAGTCTCTCTATCGAATCGACAAATAGATTATTATGTCTGTTTATTCGAGAGGCACGTAATGCCACCACGAGCTAGCCACCACTGTTAAGAGATTCTGATGGACATTCCACAACAGCAGCCAAATACAGATCTTAAAATCAGGCGCATCACCATTACTTATGACTGAATCTACTCAAATTCTTCAAAGTACTCTCATAAGATATTCCAACAACGAATTTCGAAATCTTGGGAGCGCTTAAAATCCAATAAAACAACATCGATGTGGGGATTAACCAGATAATGAGGGGCACTAAGCGTTTCGAGGAAAGTTCTCAGGATGGGATTACCTGTGCATGAAAACAACGGGTGGTCTAACCAAATTTCTTTTTTGGGTATACCCATAAAGTTCGCTATGCTGAAACTATCCATTGCGGCTCGAGTCAGCTATCTCAAAACAATCAGTTAACACTTCAGAAATTTTTGCCACCGTGTATTTCACGCAAGGGAACAGTACTTGGTAAATTGTAACTAACATAAGACAAATTTGGTAGGATAATGTGTGAAGGTTTGGTGTCACTCTAATAAGGTAAAGCTCCACAGATTTCTAAATTGTGGATATGTTACACACAGCACATTCCGTCCACGTGAAAATGGTAAATAAAAAACAAGCAACACAGAAGTATTTGGAGTAGAGACGGGCAACATAGTTATTTCATATGCCCGAGTGAATCCCTAAATTTATTTTAGGAGAAAATCGCGTGACTAGGAGTTTGCGACTTTAATGAAGATCATGAACAAAACTCGTGTACTTTTTGGATAAAACGTTTGATTAATTCGATGAAAAATTATTGGAAGCTCAGAATCTGTTACAAATGCACACATATCAAATATGTAAATCAAATTTTGCGTGCATATCTGTTGCTGTTTGTTTTTGGCTAACAAAATACACTCAAATCGCGTGAGTAACTGACATTTTAAATCACAGTTTGCTGCAGATATTTTGCAGAAACTGTTTAAAAAAACTTGCTGTGGAGGAGCGAAAAATAAAGTAGAAAACTCTCCTGGAGTACCCACTGACTTCACTCATGATTGCGACTATTCTTGGTTGTGTTGGAAGTGAGGATCCTAGAAATTTGTTCTGCTCAATCAGCTAGTCTATCGCCGGGTTCATAAACAGACTACTTTTGGCTACCATAAGGTTTTGCTTCAACAGGACGGAATCTTTTGTATGCTGTCAGCGCTAATGCTGAAAGCAACAGATGACAGAAAAGTTGATTTGTTTTTTATAAATGGCGTCAGTTTTAGTAAAAGTCCAAGAATATGCCAGATAAACAAAACAACTGAATACAACAATTTGAACTCCTTGGTGCTCAGTTGCCACCGTAGCTGCATATTTTCAGAATTCTCATTTATTTACAATGTGATCGTGATTCATACGTTCTTGCCTGCGTTTCACCATCTAGCGTTTAACTTCATACACGTCCTTTCGCATGTGTCCAGTCACTAAAATTTATGAGCATAAAAAATAAGTTTGTTTATTTGCGGATTCGCTCTTTGTTTGTAAGATGGGGGGATGAAACTCAAGAGCCCCACAGCTGGGATAGTTTTGTCCATTAGGATCACCGTGGTGGTCAACCGTTGCCGAGTAGTGTGTACTCTGTTTTTAGTTGTTACAAACACAACTCATAAAGAGTGCGTCAGACAGTCATCTGGTAGGTGATTGATCGACTCATTGTTTTCGCCCATTTCTAGACGGTAGATCAACCGTTCAGTTTGTCGGAACGTACATATGGCTTGCTTCAAAGAACAACGACTTGGGTAAAAATTTCGTGCTTTAAATTGACTTGTTTAGCATGAGAGTGATCGAATTGTTGAAACTCCCGTCCTCACTAATAAGTTGTTAAATGCCTACCTTGAAATCTAAGTCAAAACTTTTCGACTCATAATAGGATTTTCTGTTGGTTTCTACAGCACCCAAACCCAGTTTGCTACTCATCTGAACACTTACCGGACGTACAAAATTGGCAAACTGTTAAGCAAAATAAAGCCGGGTACAGTTCGGATGAAATTCCAATAACGGCGTGATTCTCCTACGATAAGCCGACAACTGATTACTGGAACTACGTGAACTATAATGCTAGGTGCATCCTGTAATTGTGTCGCTCAGTTTGAAAACCTCATTCTTGTTAAACAGATTACGCGGAGATTGAATCTAGTGTACCCAATCCTTTTGACTGCAGGTTCACAGGAATTAAGGTATCGGTGATCACGTTGAATGTAATGCGAAGAAGAAATAGGCAGTGACGAGTATTGGGAATATTTCACATTTCCACTGAGTCAGTTAAATTAGCGCCAGACGGC